CTGCAGTGCAGGTCTTGTGGTTGTTGGTCATGCAGATTCCTACCTTGCTAATTATTGTGCTCTCCCCACCCAAGTGCCCTTATCAAAGCCCTCCCTTTCTTCAAGGCCTACCCTAAATCCAACCTCCTGCAGAAGCCTTCCCAGCTGTAGCCCTTGTTGCCTGAATTCCTGTAGTACATACTGGGTGTCCACTTAACACTGAACATGTGCTTCCTCTGCTGCCTTTTACCTTTTTAGGTGCATGGTTTGTCTCAAATTAGGTGGCCTCCTCTTTGTATTCCTCTGCCCCAGTGAAGTGCACGTTACAGATGATCAGAATGCACAACTCCTGTACTTCTCCAGAGCCTTCAGATTGCTGCGTGGCCTGGAAGTCTTCACTGCTGTGGCTCTTAGTGGGCTAAAAACAGCCTTGTGTAAGTGTCGGCCATGACTTCATTCGTAAATTAGTACAAATTAGGTGGGAGGATGAAGGAAGGAATGGATGTGGATAAAAAGGTCTGACTCTAAATCTCAAATGAGCTACATTTTTTTGTTGTTTAATTATAGTCCTTTCTGGTTCCTGGTATAATCCTCCTTCCTGAAAGTGCTTTGTGATTTTTATCTTTTTGTATCAATTTTATCTTCCTCGTGCCTATGTTTTCATTATAAGTCATCCAAAACCCTCCTTGGAAATAGCTAGGGTATGAATAATTTCTCTGAAAGTCTTAGTGACAGAGCCAAATATAGTATTCTCAATTTTACATCTTTACTCTTTACCTCTTTTGTACTGGTTTCTACTCAGATTAAACTTTATATTCAACGAAATAGATGGAGATTTATCTCCAGAGTTAATATTGGAGCCTTTACAATTTAAAGCCTGGACTGCAAGGACATTTTTCAGAGGCTAAAAATCTGTGGCTTGATCATTAAAATAATAACTGAGTTCTCACATAAGGGACTTACATTCAAATGCAGGGTTGGCTCAGCTGGAGCCTTTCCTGCCCCTCTTTGTTCCGAACTCCAAGGAAGAAACATTCTGTTTTCCTTTCAAGAACTCAATGCATGTCCACCTGATCTTATCCCTCACATCTTCCTTAGTCGCCTTCTTTCCTGTATCTTTAGTTCCCTTTCATCACGGGCTGCTTACGCTCTGACTGCACGGACCAAATAACTCCTGTCCTGGAGAAACTTTCCCTGTACCCCGAATCCCGTGAAAACAACATTTTCCTTTTCCGTTCTTAGCCAAGTATCTTGCTTGAGACACTGTCCACTTTTCCAGTCAGTCATTTATTGTGTGTCTACTGTATTCCGGACACGATGCCAGACACTGGGAATGGTGGTAGACGGCACCCCCCAGGTGCACCCCCACGCCCTGCCACGGAGTTAGCCTTCTGGCCACACCTCAGCCCTTGCAACGCCACAGAAACTGCCCAAAGCTGTCTGGGGACTTCCTAGTCATCAAATTCTGTGGCTCTTCTCAGTTATTCCCCCTCAGTAACATGAGGCAGTTTAACAGTAGTTAATAATGTCCTGAAACTTATTCACAATTAGAAACTATTCACCAACTTCAAGACACTGTGATGAATACGGAGAGAACAGCATAGGATCGGCCTTAGAAATGCTGACACGTGGAATATCATGCAGCCCAATGACTAGGCTTCCTCTAAGTCCAGCTTCCTAGGGAAAATACTTGTAAAGAGGCAAAAGCTTTTGTTCACAAGACGCTCAATCATTCTACCATTGATCTCAATATGCAAATTCAGATGTGTTAACCAGTCAGCAAATGCATGGTAAATGATGTCAGAAGAACAGCAGGTCCTCAAATAACATCATTTCATTATAACACCGATAAGAAAAAACTGTTCCCTGCTGGTGCCCCTGTCTGTACGGAGCCTGCACATCCTTCCCGTGCCTGTGAGGGTTTTCTCTGGACGACTCCGTTTTCCTCCCACATCCCCAAACGTGCGTGTGACAGAAACCGGGGTGTCTCCACTGCCTCAGCCTGAGTGAGTAGGAGTGTGTGTCAGTGTGCCCTGCGTGAGCAGCCCGTCCAGGGTCGCCGTCAGCACAGGCTCTGCCCACCGGAGGCCCTCAACTGAAATAAGCAAGTTGGAAAACAATTGTCTCACTTGTTCTTAGTAATCTTTCTTAAATGTCTGTATGGTTCACACTTACTTCAGAGCTTAATATTAGAAGCGTTTGGGTCTTTATTTAGAGGTTTAAAAATGGTTTTGTGACCAGCAATATGTCAAAGGAACATAACTCTTGTTTATATCAATCAGCCTGTGGTAAAATTGGTTTCATTATATGTTGTTTCCCTCGAAGTTGCAGTTTCCAAGAACATCCCGACGACCCTAAGTGAAGACCTGCTGTAAGAGTGCCATGTCCTTTGGTAACACATTTACTGCTGTGAACGTTCACCCTTCCTAATTTTCTCTATGCATACCAGCCCATCCAAACATCCCCAGAACAAAAATTGTTTGGACATGTTCTTCATCAAAGACATTATAGCCCATAAAAATAGAAAAATATAAAGTACAGCTTGTTGAAGTGAAAAAATATATTAATTTTTGTAAGGTTCTGGGTAAGAGAATTGTCCACCCTCATTTTTCTGGCTCGTTAGCCCCCTCCTCACACCGGTACAGGTTCTCCGCCCCCTATCAAAGACCCCTCTTCTTTCTGAGTTTCCAGAGGCTGTCTCTAGAGTATTTCAGCTTCCAGACAAGGGACGAGCAGGCTCCATGCTGATGGGCACCCTGAATCCTTGGAATGCCAGGGCTGTGTCTTGGCAGAGTGCAAAAGAGCTCTTTGTCTTTCATATCCTGGAATAGGGTCAGGGGGTGCCAAAGCCACGTTGCTTAGGCCCCAACACCTCCCAGGAGTGTTAGTGAAACCAGTTATTTTATTTTTTTTATACTCTCTCACACTTCAATGAGTCCAGAATGGGGACCCAATTAACCTCAGTGCTTCTACTTCTCTATAAGGCTGTTCCCTGGTTAAACTACTGGCTGATTGTACACTCATTGCATCACACCCACTCCTCTGGTCACCCAGGTGTGTCTACATCCCAGAAATGCCAGTATCCAAGCTCAAGCTGAGGCGGAGTCCCCGTTACCTGCAGGTGTCAATTTGAAGCTGTGTGCATGTTCGAGGCAGGCAAATGGGCCTGATCTAGAAGCCTGATCAGCAAATCCACTGATGAGTCACAGTTGAGGGAAAGGAGCTCACTGTGAAAGGGCTCACCAAGCTCTTAGGTTGTAGCTGTCTCACACCCTACCAGTGTCACCTGGAGTTTTGCTGAAGGAACAATCTAAATGAACTCGAATCCTGCCAATACCTTCTGGTTGCCCATGGGATGTGCAAAATGAGCCTTTCATCCCCGCAGTCAGGAGGGGGAGGCTTGCTGAGGGCACTTTATTAATTCCCACCTCTTAGGACAGGCCACAGCCCCCCTGTGAGGGCCACCCACTATCCAGTCGTGCAAGTTAGAAAGGGGTGCCTCCTGCCCTCACACATTTGTTTCTCCATCTTGCACCACAAATGTCCCTCAGATTCTCCAGAGCAGGCAGTTATTAGGGGAAGAAGAATAGCACAGCGTCGTCACGATCTACCTTTTACATATGAAGCCCAGAGAGAAGGAACTTAGCCAAGGCCACAGAGTGAGTCAGCAATAAAAGGAGAGCTCAGGTCTCCTGGAGCCCAGGCCCCGTGTCATTTCCATGTGTGAGAAGCAGCAGCTTCGTGGCCCAGTTGGAGGCGCCAGGGCTCCCTTCCCCAGGGAGCAGAGCAGGCTCAGGGACTGACAAACTCAGACCCAGGAGTCCTCTCTCACTGAGAGTTCTTATCACACGTGTCCTCTACCCAAGACAGGGAGGATCTCAGTCCTGTGTACTCGTGGAGAGGTGATTGAAAAGAGGACATAAATGAAGGTGGATGACTGAGGAAGGATTTCTGCAGTCTGATCTCCATATCCCCAGCACACATGGAGAATTACCATCTGGTCTACCAACAGTGGTTCTCAAAATCCGCTGTGCACCAGAGTCAAAAACATACATTTTTGGCCCTGTGTCCCAGAGGTTTTGATTAAGTGGGTCAGAGGTGGACCTGATAATTTGCGTATCTAACAAGTTCGAGGTGATACTGTTGTTCGAGGTGCTGCTGTTGTCCTGGGGACCATGCTCTGAAAACCACTGGCCTAGAAAAATAGACAACCTCCCAATCTTTCCTGCCTCACCATCCTCATTCACTTCCTCTTCTCGTCTCCTGCTTTGTCCTCTTCTATTTCCTCCTCCCCCCACTCTTTAGTCTTCTTCCCACCTTCCAAAGCGTGATGGAATAAGCCTGGCTCTGCCGGGGACCTGGGTTCTAGTTCCAGCTCTGTCACTGACTTAATGTGTGGCCTGGGGCAAGTCATTTCCTCTGTTTGGGTCTGAGAAGAGGCAGTGGCCTAGAATGTGAAATACCCCTGTTGCCAGGTGCTTCCCAGCTATGGCCGCATCTACCAGGGTCCATCTCTCTATCCCCAGGGGCTCCTCCGTGCAATGTGTGCTTGAAGAGGCTGGTGAATACATTCGATGGCCTTCACACTTCCGTCCAACTCATACGCTTGGATTCTGACCTCTTCTTCCTCCCAAGTCGGAGCTTTTTCCCTCTTCAGTGGAACACGATGTTTGGGGTCTTTCTAGGACAAGAGAAAGTAAAGATGCCCCCGCCGACCAGGCGACTGTTGAGGAGACAGCCGAGGAACAGCCCGTGACTTGAGGGAATCAGGCCCCAGAGAGCAGATCCCAGACCCTCGGACAGCGGAGGCGCTGCCCAGGGCTAGGAGCACAGGGGATCCAAACAGCCCAGCGGTGAAACTCGGCCCCCACCCAAGCCGAGGCTCCAGCAAGGAGCGCCAGCGAGAAGACCAACGCCAGTGTGGTCATCCCAGGTATCCAGTCTGGGTGGGCTGGTGCGCCCTAGGGGCGTGGACACTGCAAGACACGCCCCAGACACACTTAAAGTAGCTGCGAGCCCATGCAGGCAGGAAGGAGGGAGAAAGCTCCAGCTGCTGCTGACCCAGACGTAGACCCAACCTGCACGCACTCAGCCCGCTCCAGACAGCACCATGCGGGGCCTGAGCGTGGCTCTGTGGCTCCTCGTAGCCCTGCGCACGGGTGAGGCCCCTCCGCCTGGCAGTGGGAGCAGGACCCGGGGCGGGGGGTCTGGAGCTGGGAACTGTGTCCGGACCACGGGTCTCGCGGATGAGGACGACAGAGGGAACTAGCACTGACCCGAACACACTGGGGTGTCTGGAGAGCTCAGTGGAGGAAGTGGCCTTGAGCTGGGCCTCGAAAAAGCGGACCTTCTGACGCCCCAAGGAGAGGCTCCGCCAAAGGCGTGGGGGGCGGGAGGGGGCCTGGGAATGTCGGGAGGACGTCGGAGGCTGCACGCCCCTGATGAGCATGGACGGCAGAGGAGGGTTTAGAGGCCAGAGCCCCTACTTCTCCGCAGTCACCTCGGGGAGGGAGATGGGAGGAGTCCAGGGGGTGAGAGGAGGGGCGAGACGCCTCCCCGGGGACAGCTCCGGGGCGCCTGCGGGGCGCAGGGGTGGAGAAGCGGGCGCAGGTGCCCTCCACCCCCGCCCCCGCCACGCGCTCCCGCGCCGCCACCTCCCAGGGTAGTCGGGGTCCGGACTAGGAGACTGGCGCCGGGCCTCAGGTAGCTGTTTGCAGGGCTCGAGGGCCCGAGCTCGGCGGTTGCCCGGCCTGCCGGCGTGCGGTCCCGGAGCGCCACGGGGAGGGCCGGCCCCCGTTCCGGGAGCTGCCGGACCCTTGGAGTGGGCGCGCCGGGAGAGTGGGACCTGGTCCCTAGGGGGCGGGAACCGGCCCCAAAGCCTCGCAGGGAACACAGGCCCCCCCGGCGGTCCTGGCTGGGCGGGGTGAGTGCGGGAGGCGCGCCGGGCCCGGGCCGGGAGCGAACTCGGCCGCGGCTTCCCGAGCAGGAAGAGGGGCCTGAGCAGAAGGCCGCTGAGGACTGTTTGTCCTGGCTCAACACAGGTTTATTTACAGCGCGGAAGGTGGGTTTTCTCATTTGCTTTTCCTAAAGACGGAACAGGCGCAGAGAGGTCAAGTAAGTTCCCTTGAAGTCACCTGTTAGAGGAGCACTAACTCGAAGCTGACTCAGCCTCCCTCTGTCGTCGGTCCTGGCACTGTGCCCCCTGAGGGGCTGTGCAAGGGGCATAATCACAGACGCTCCAAGAGGGTGCAAGGCTCCTCAAGGGCAGCTCTACCACTCCCCTGGCTCTTGTCTCAGTTCATGAAGGGCCCAGGGACACTGCTTAGTGAGGAACCCAGTCCAGCACCTTCTTGGAGAACACAGAGGTGTCAAGAGAGGTGGGAACTAGCGAGGTGCTTCCCAGTGGCGAGGCTGTGCTGCGGCTGAGGACCAAGTCACGAAGAGCCGCCGGAGCCATCCTCCTCAGTGGGGGCTGCGGGCGCCCTCGGGGAGCTGGGCCTCACTGCACCCTACCCCCAGCACTCGGCGGGGCGGAGGTGCGGTGGTGCACCACCTCAGACCCGGAGCAGCAGAAATGCAGCGACATGAGCCAGGCCTTCCAGAGAGCCGGGATCCAGCCCTCCCTCCTGTGCATCCAGGGCACCTCAGCTGACCACTGCGTCCAGCTCATCACGGTGAGTCCTCGCCCTTCCGCTCTGGCACCTCCACAGGCCAGACAAGAGGGCTCTGACTCAGGAGGGAGCACACAACAGCCTCATTCACTGGGAAAAGCAGCAATGTCCCCGCCCCCCCCCCCCCCCCCCCCCCGCCAGGGTTGGGCGATAGGATCTGAGTTTCCCAGGCAACAAGGGCCAGCTTGTTTCCTGCGCAGGCCCAGGCCAGGCACTGGGAGGCCCCAGGGTGGGCGCCTGCTCAGATGGGCGCCGGTGGGGAAAGGTACCTGAGAGGCGGAGTGTTTCTTCCACAAGGTCCTTGCCATACTGGCGACACTGCTCACCCCACTGAGGGAGCCCAGACAGCATAGTCCTCCGTGACCCACGGTGGAGTCACTCTCTGTGCCGTGGAGTTTTCCAGAACAGGGCTTGTGTCGATTCTGGAGTGGAAGGACCAGAGGCCAGCAGTCTTGGGTGGGTGAGTCAGGAGTGGGAAAGCAGTTCCGAGTGGCAGCAGAGCCGCGCACCTGGCACCGCCAATACTCAGAGGCAGGACTTCAGTAGCAGGACAAGGTGTGACGGGAAGCCTCAGGGGCAGACACAGAGGGACCTGAGCTTTCACTTCAGCTCAGACTTTGGGACGTCCCAAGGCCTAATCCAGTCCTGGTCCCCTGCGGGCCAAGGCCTTGGGTCAGGCTCCACTGTGAAGGCGGAGACCAATTGTATTGGGCTGTAATTCTATTCATGGACTCCGTAACACGTTGATAGTATACTGCCATTTGTGTTTTAAAGTAAAAAGGAAAAATTTGAAGAGGGCATGCATTTATGGGACTCAGTCTGCATCTTAGAGAGAAAACCCAAGAAGCAGGGCAGCCAGGAGCTGGGAAACCAGAGTGAGGAAGCCTCACTTTGCACGACACACCATTTTGTACTATCTGGCTTTTTTTTCCCTGTACATCTACTATACGTCCTATAAAATTAATATTTTTCAAATAACTAATTAGAAAAACAAGGTGAGCCCCTGGGCCTGGTAAAGGGGGAGACTCCTACGCTCTGGGCGGGGAGGGGCCTGCAAGGCTGAGCCAGGACACGGCTCCTAGGCCAGACCAAGAGGACCAGTGTGGGCCTCTGTGTCTTTTCAAGGGGCCCTAAGGGGGTGTCCCTGAGTGTCTCCCTGAGTTAGGTAGGAGGGGCGGGGAGGGGCGAGGTGGGGCTGAATCACTTGTTCCCAGCAGGCTGGGGAAGCTGAAGCCATCACTTTGGACGGAGGAGCCATTTACGAGGCAGGGAAGGAGCACGGCCTGAAGCCCGTGGTGGGTGAAGTGTATGATCAAGGTCAGAGGGCCAAGCGGGAGGAGGGGTGGGAGGAAAGGGGAAGTCGCTCTGCAGTGTGTCCTTGCTGGGCCTGGCCCAGCCATGAAGCCCTGGAGCTGGTCAGCAGCCGTCTCCCCAGAGCAGTCCTAGAGTCCTGGCCACACTAACTTTCAAAGGCCCTACATCTCTCTTGACACACCCGCCCTTTCCCCAGGAGTGAGGGTGCCGGAGGCAGAGGCTGATCCATACCTGTTTTTCCTCACGGGGGTCCCAGCAGACCCCAGGTTTTCACCCTCAAACTCTTGCCGAGGGGCTGCCCCAGGCCTGGTGTAGTGTTGGGCGTGATGGCCCGGAGTAAACCTCAGTAATGCCTGGCCACCGCGCACGTGAGGGGCCACCTGTCAGAAGCAGCAAGAGCGGTAATGGGGACGGGACAGAGGTGGTGACCAGGAACTGCAGAGCCGACACACCAAACACAAGTCCCAGCCCTGCCCCTTCCTGGGACTTCCTGTGACCTTGGACAACCTTTATTTCCTTGACTATAAAATGGGGACAGTGATCCCTGCCGATGTGTGAACACCTGACGTGGGCTATGGGTTGGAAACATGAGCTCCTTCGCCCCTGGACCTTCACCTCACACCAGACATGCCGCAGCCTCAGGCGCCCTTCGTACCTCTCCCATTTGTCCAGTGCCTGGCTTCTGTCACAATCAGATCCGTTGTCACCTCCAAGGGCTCCCCTGGGCCTTCCCACCCCTGCAAAGGTCCTCTCTTTCCTGCTTCCCAGAGCACCGATTCACTCTGCTAAGGTTCCGTCCCCTTGTGTCTTGTGTTCTTTGTTCTCACCATAGTGAGTCCCCTGAGGAGGCCCTGGTCCTCATCTTTGGTACCCAGCACAGGGTCTCTCTTGGTTGCTTGTTGAATTAGTGACTGTCAGATGACATAAGACACAGTCCAGCCCTGTAAACCAGCCAGTCTTTTCACTCAACAGCCAGAAACAATCCTGCCTCTCAGGCCCCAAATGTAGATCTTCCCCTTTAATTAATGCAACACACTTATTAAGCACCTACTACATGCCAGTCATGAGCATAGAGTAGTAAGCAACAGAAGCCAGTTTCTGCCCCTCAAAGAGCAGGTGTCAGAAAGTAAACAATGGATGGGAGACCATTAAAACAGAGCAGACAGGAGGGCTCATCCGGGGAGGTGACATTAAGTGGAGCCCAGACAAGAGTCCCAGGTAAGAAAGAGCTTAGTGTGTTCAAGGGACTAAAAGGAAAGGCACAGTGGGCCAATCAGAGGATGGGACCGGATGAGACTACTTGCTTAGGTTGCCAAGGGCCAGACTCAGGTGTACAAAACATAACACTGGTTTTGTTTTCTAGAACTCAACTTCAGTCTGACCCTGGGCACCTGCCACCACGGGGCAGTTGTGCATGCGCACCCACACTCCAGTGTCAGTGATGGGACATCAGTCCCCATAGACGAGTCACTTCTGTCTTGTCTGAATGGCCCCTTCTCGGCCACGTTTGGCCCGGGGGAATCTTTTGCAAGGCTGTAGACTCCTGCCCACCCACCTGCACCCCAGTTAGGGTCTTGAGTGATGGGAGACCACAATGTTCTGTCCACCTGTCACCTACCTACCTACCTCTCCTTCCCACTCAGCACTAGTAAGTCCCTTTTTCTAATCTGAGGGAAGCCACCACCCTGCTCTCCCTGTTCCTCCCAACCACTGCCCTTCCCGTAACCACGATACCATTCCCTCAACCTTTCCCACCTCTCCAACCTCTCCACAGGGAGAACTTTTGGAAAACAAAAGTTACCGGCCACTTCTGCTGTTGGTCCAGATACAGAGCCCCCCTGACATTCACAGATGTCGACCAACTAAGTGCCAGCTAACTTGGGAAGGAAAGGCAAAAATTAACTAATGAAATAATATCTCAATATCTACCAAACCAGGCTGCAGGAGGGCGGGATCTGTGATTAGACAGGTGGCTCACACTCAGTTGCTCCCTCAGGAACTAGAACACCACGTACTCACACACCTGTACCTCCACACACACGTGCATCCACACACAGGGTCGTGTGTGCGTGCACACGCACCCTTCTCCCACAGCCTTCCTGGTCAGGGTCCCAGCCTTTCTTGTGGCTTCTCCCTCGCCATCCTCGCTCCTCTCCTCCTTCTAGATGTTGGTACCTCCTATTACGCTGTAGCTGTGGTCAAGAGGAGCTCTAACCTGACCATCAACACCCTGAAGGGCATGAAGTCCTGCCACACGGGCATCAACAGGACAGTGGGCTGGAACGTGCCCGTGGGCTACCTGGTGGAGAGCGGCAGGCTCTCCGTGATGGGCTGTGACGTGCTGCGAGGTGAGGGCTCCTGGAGGGCAGACGCTCCTCTGCAACATCTCCGGGTTTCCCATCTCCTTGCCTCATCCCTTCCCTTTCCCTCACAGGACAGCCTTCCTCCTGGCTCACCTCCTTCTTGCACCTTCTGTAAAGAATGGCACAGTCCCAGCTCTGCCCGGGCCTCCCAGACACCTAACAGTGGTATCACTCCCGCCTGCCCTTAATGCCGGTTGCCACCATTTTAATTTCTGCTTGGGGATTCTTTCAGGGCAGCCGACTCTCACTCAGTCCTCACCCTGAAAAACGGGGCCCAGCCCATGTTGGGACATTGTGAATTGCAGCTCTCACTGGTGGACACCTGGTGCAAGTTGCTATTTACAGAAATGTGCCCTCAACTTTACAGATTCAGAAACCCTATTTCTTCAGGACCCAAGCAGGCTGCAGACTTGTACCCAGAAAGCTTACACATGGCTAATCAGAGACTTGCTGCTCCCTGACTGACTCGTTTGAAGTGCAGACAGAAAATTCTCCTCGGGAAGGGGGTGCAGAGTGATCAGAACAGGGTGGCTGAGAATGAAACGCATGAGGGGAGTCAGGTGAAGACCCGAGGGTCTCAGCTGAGAGCCCAGAGCCCTCATTCTGGCAGCCTGGGCTGACACCCTGCTTCTCATGCTTTGGGCTTCTTTTCTTGGTCACCTACTGGCCACCCAGTTGTGTCAATCTCCAGAGTGGACACTACAGCCATGAGGTGGCCCCTGACACATGACCACTATACCCTCAAACTGTTCTCCTGGATCACACCACCCCCCAAGTAGAGTTTGGGGGGCCCTCAAATCCCTTGTCCACAAGAGTGCTGACTCCTGGTTCGCTCCACAGCTGACGAGTGCTTCTGGGGGTGGGTAACGGAGGGGGGAAGGATTTTGCAGAAGACACAATGGTCTTTTAAAGCCCTGACGTGGCTGTCAGGTAGATGATCTGCCCTCAGACAGATCACCTCCTGGAACTTCAGTTTCCTCATCTTGTAAAATGGAAGTTAACTTCAGTGCAGTGAGGTCGGGGGGACCAAGATAGTTCACCCGCCATCTTTGCACAGTGCTTCACACACTGCATGACTCAGGGCACGGGCTCACCTCAGGGAGCTGTGGTTACTACGAGTTCAACTTCCATACCTCTTAGCGGGCACCTCACAGTTGTGCATACACATGCATGTACATACATGCCCAAACACATGGGGCACCCATGCCCATGCATGTATGCACTGCCCCCACATGGGCCCAGCCACTCTGTAAACCAGCACGCCCCCAGAATGCCTGGAATCCATGTCCTCACAGTTGCCGGCCAGGTATGTGTGGTTTATCGGTCACTTGACACATTTATTAAATGTCTTCTTCCCTGGGAGGATACAAAACAAGATCAAGAAAGGGCACGCACCCTGAAAGAGCTCAGTCTAGCTGGGAGGTGAGCACGAGGTGACTGGCACCCCGCTCACCCCGCGCAGCCCTGGGACGTTCTCAGCACAGGGTAAATATTTGTCAAGAGGGTGGAAACCGGCCCGGAAACCGTGCGGAGCTGACCTCTTCACTCATAACACCTCCTTCTGCTCCACTTTCCTCCCCTTCTTGTTGTGAGATGCACTGTCTATCAAGTTAATCATACTCATTAAGCAATAATTTATTTCTTTCCCTGCTTTCACTGATTGCTCACCCATACCGACGTTGAGATGAAACCCTCAACGAGAACAGCCTATAGTTGTGCTGTTCAGCCTTTGGGGGTGAACGGTTTACTTCCTGAGCCATTTCTGAATAACAACGATCACTCCCCAGGGCCCACACTTGTGTGGCCTCGGTTTGGGAATCACTGATTGGAACCAGGTTCCCAGTTTTGCTCCAACTGCAGCCTGAAGGCCCAGCCCCATCCCTGGGGCGCCTGGCCCTCCACTCCCGCCTGAGTGGCCTGAGCCGTCTCTAGTGGACGGGGCAAGGGGTCCGACCCTGCAGGACAGCTGGCTCACCCCCTCTTCCTCCTTCCCACAGCTGTCAGCGAGTATTTTGGGGGCAGCTGTGTCCCCGGAGCAGGAGAGACCAGTTACTCCAAGTCCCTGTGTCGCCTCTGCCGGGGCAACGCGGCTGGGGAGGGGGTATGTGACAAGAGCCCCCTGGAGAGATACTTCGACTACAGCGGGGCCTTCCGGTGAGAGGGGCCTGGGCGGGGCTGGCGCTCCGTGGGCGGAGTCAGGGGCCAGGCCCTGCGGCCCCAAGAGCTGGGGAAAAACACCTGGGCAGGGAGGGCCCTGGGGTGGGGGTGGGGGGGTACAGCGTCCGCAGCATCTCATCAAAGTGGCCTTTCCACAGTTCGTGTGTTCTGGTTGATTTAAAAACATCAAGCCGCAGACTGGATTTGCTCATAAGTCAACATGTTTGGTATATTTAGAGAGGTGAGGACTCAGAGAGGAAAAAAATGACAAAACAGCCTTTGGGCGCTCCCATGTCCCCATTCTGGTGACTCAGGGCGGTGGGGGTGGGGGAGTGTGTCGGGGACCCTTTGGTTCAGACTGGCAGTCCAGAGGAGCCCGCTGTGGATACGAAAGAGAGGCTTTCGCTGCTGGGCTGCAGGCCCATGGGTCTCTAAGGGAGGCCTGGGTGCCCCTACCCCCCCCCCACCCCGCAGCAGGAATGGACGCCTGCTGAGCCCTTCGCACCGGCCCAGCCTCCGTGTTTCCCCTGGAAGCAGGGAAGTCTGCTAGCGCCCACGCTCCAGTCTGGGTTCTGGGTAAAATGCAGTTTTTAGCACAAAGAGAAAAACAGGTCTCTGTCCTCTAAGCCAGAGACTGTTGCGTACCCCACCTCCCTGGTGTCGTCCCCCGGTCCAGCCCCTGATCATTTGTGGCTGTGGAGACCCAGGCAGCGCCTTTGCCCATAGCCCCTGACCTGCCTCCCCCACTGGGCAGTGCCATATAGAGGATACTTCAAGTCCTCGACCCTTCCTCTCAGGGCTCTTGTTATGGCATAAGAAGGTCTACTCCTGCCCCCTGCCTTGGGTCAGAGTCAGCTTCAAACCCCCTGAGCGTTAGGGCTGCAGCCGCCGCTAAGAGCAGCTACCACAGGAGCTCCTGCTCCTTCCAGGCCCCGCTGTACAGGATCCACACAGGCGACAAAGGATCTCTCCCCACGGGAGCCACTTTCTCATCCCCACTTCACAGGTGATGAGGCTAGGAAGGCCCCACAACGTGGCAAAGCCACTAGGAGAGCTGGCACACCAGACGGTGTGCCTGGGAAACCCACGCCCACCATGACCACCCCTCAGTCCAGGCTGGGCCTCCAGAGAGGTGGAGGGTGGGCAGGGGCTCTGGGGCTCAGGGGGCGCAGCCCCACCCCAGGCTCACAGGACTCTCCCCTGCAGGTGCCTGGCAGAAGGGGCAGGGGACGTGGCCTTTGTGAAGCACAGCACTGTGCTGGAGAACACTGACGGTGAGTGAGCAGGGACCACTTGCTGGGCCCAGGGTGGCCTCAGCGGTGGAGTTCAAAGGGGGCCGTGGGGGCAGCTCTGACCTGCCCCGATTTGTCTATGGCATTGGGTTCTGTTTCCATTCGAAGACTGGGTTCCGCTTTTCCAAAAAAGTTTGCAAATCTCTGCACTACTGCTCACCTACCATCCCTTCCTGGCATTTTCCTCTTATCTGAAGAAGCTGCCCCTTTATCTCTGGACCAGCTGTTATGTGTTGACCCAGTATATCATTGTCATTTAATTTTTTTTTAATTTTGAAATAACTAAGCTTTAGAAAAGTTGGAAGAGTAATTCAAAGAACTCCCCTTTATTCTTTCCAGGATACTGACTTTCAGCATTTGCCACAGTGACTTGCCCTTTGTCTGTGTGTGTGTGTGTGTTTTGTTTTGTTTTGTTTTTAATATTTATTTATCTTTAGAGGGGAAGGAGAGAGGGAGAGAAACATCAATGTGTGGTTGCCTCTAGTGCGTCCCCTGCTGGGACCTGGCCTGCAACCCAGGCATGTGCCCTGACTGGGAATTGAACCACGATCCTCTGGTTCTCAGACCTGCACTCAATCCACTGAGCTATACCAGCCAGGGCTGTATGTGTGTTCTTTCTGAGCCCTTGTGGACGCCTGCCCACACCCCTTTGATAACTTGGTGTGTGTCCCTAAGACCCGGGTGTGAACTTACCCCCAGTACAGTTGTCACACTCGTGAAATGTGGCACTGACACAAGACTGTCATCTACAGTCCATATGTTAGATACATTAATTGTCCAAATTCTGTCCTTTGTAGTAATTTTTTAGAGGCCAGAACCTCATGTAAGATCGCACCTGGTATCCAGTTATTAGGTCTTTTTAGTTTTCTTCAACTTTGAACAGTTTTTCAATTTTTTAAATTCTTTTGTTTGTTTTTTTGAAGAGTCAGGCCAGTGATTTTATAGAATGACCCCTAATTTTGATTAGCCCGAGGATCACTTATTTTTTTAATTGAGGGGTAACTGACATACAGCAGAAATTCATCCTTTTTGAAATACAGTTCTATGAGTGTTGCCAAAAACCAGCAGTTGGGTAACTACCACCACAGTCGAGACAGCGATTGTGGGAGACCCTTCACCCCGAAATTCCTTAGTCAGCCCTACCCCTGCCCCACCTCTATAGTCTTGCGGTGCCAGCGTGTCTGATCATTGTCCATTTTTAAAAATCATTGTCTGTTTTGTTAATCTTTGCCATTTAATCATGTAGTCTGACATTCGTGAAGACAAACAATATGAGCCAAATTTGAGAAAGAAAAACAAAGTGACCTGGAAAAGGAGGCGGCCCACAGGGTGTCTCCAGTGCAGGGCGATCCCAAGAAAACAGGCAGCAGGGACTTGGGCCCCAACGTGAGTCATGAAGAGGAGAATTTGGAACTTTGAGAAGGAATAGGGGTGCATTTGGTAAAAATTAGCTCTTTTAAAATGTTGATGGTATTCAAAGGAAATCTAAGGAAGTAATTTTTAATGATTTCTTTAGAGTTTGGCTACAACTTTGTGAGGTAGACAAAGCAATTCTATCATGCCTATCTTTTCATTAACTTTATTGTGGTGACATTGGTTAATAAAGTTTATGTAATTTTAAAGGTGCGATTCTGTGATACGTCATCAGTATATCACATTATGTGCCCACCACCCAAAGTCTAGGCTGCTTCTGTCACCATCTAGCTGACCCTTTACCCTCTTCATTCTCCCCACACCCCCTCCCCCTCTGGTACTCACCCTCCCACTGTCGGTGTCTGTCAGGTTTGTTTGTTTGTCTGTCTGTTGCTTTCTGTTTTATATCCCACATATGAGTGAAATCATATGGTTCTTGTCCTTTTCCATCTGGCTTATTTCACTTACCATGACATTCTCAAGGTCCACCCACAAATGGCAGCGTTTCATCTTTTTTATGGCTGAGTAGTCTTCCGTGGCACCTACGTGTCACCTCTCTACCCAAGTCCCTATTGGAGGACACTTTGGTTGTTTCCAGGTCTTAGCTGCTGTCAATAATGCTGCAATGAACATAGAGTTTTCATGATCCTGCGAATTATCTTTTTCCCTCCTATTTCCTCATTTTTTTAATTAGTGTTCTTAATTTTCCTATTTGTTGTCAATACTTTTTCAAGTAAATCTTGTTTTCTATTATAAGTGAGTTTTACGGAAAGTTTCCAATAATGTGGAAAATTAGTTTGAAATGACAAATGAAAAAAGGAGGATGCCAGGTTGCCTATTGAGTATGTGCTTAACTTTATTTAAAATGAATAGAAATCCCTGGCTGGCGTAGCTCAGTGGATTGAGCACAGGCCTGAGGACAAAAGCATCGCGGTTCGATTCCCAGTCAGGGCACATACCTGGGTTGCAGGCCAGTTCCCAATGGGGGATGCACAAGAGGCAACCGTACATTGATATTTCTCTCCCTCTCTCCTTCCCTTCCCCTCTAAAGATAAATAAATAAAATCTTTTTAAAAATAAAATAAAATGAATAGGAAATTTAACCATATTTAAAATGATTAGAATAGAAAAAAGGGCTTGGAGGAAATATACCAAAATATGGATAGGTGGGTTAACACTGCATTACCATGTGGGTGAAGCTTTGCAGAGTTCTCCTTTTCTCTGCGGGACCCAGTTCCGGGTGGGCTCTGTCAGCGTTTGTCCCCACTGCCCTCTGGTCCGAGCCAGATTTCATGCCGGTGGGCGGCAATGACCTCCTCGAACATTTCTCTCTCTCTCAGCTTAAGCTTCTCTTCTTCTCTTACTTTTCTTATCTTTAACAAACAGTTTTGTTTGTATGTGTTGCATTATCTCCTCAAATCCATTTTATTAGTAGAACTTGTTGAGAGATACAGAGTTGAAGAAAATAGACACAGTTAATCAAGACACCTGGCCTCGTACGGCCACCAAACTCCCCTCCACTCTGAGTGCGGGCCCCGCCTCCCGGTGAGATTCCGGAAGAGCGTCCTTCTCACCGTGGGTCTGGGCCCATGACACTCCAACTTCCCCCAGGCTCCCTCTCATGAGCCATCCCTGACACCCTCCTAACACACCCCAGTTCCACCAGACAGATTTGGCTCACAAGAGGCTTCCCAATTTCCCAGGAAACACCCTGCCCTCCTGGGGCCAGGCGCTGCTGTCGCAGGACTTCAAACTGCTGTGCCCCGATGGCAGCCAGGCTGACGTCACTGAATGGAGACGGTGTCACCTGGCCCAGGTGCCCGCTCATGCTGTGGTGGTCCGCGCTGACACGGACGGAGGCCTCATTTTCCAGCTGCTCAGTGAAGGCCAGGTGAGTTCAGGCACCCACACAGCTTCTCGAGTGGCACTGGGCCTTCGTGTTTTTCACCAGGGTGGGAGTTCAGGGCCAGAGCCGTCCCGAAGCTGGGCTGGCTGGACCAGGAGGGGCAGGACCCAGGACCCTCCCCTGGGACCCACCCCAGCTAGGGACCCTGGCCTCTGTGCTGGATGGCTCATGTGAGCAAATAAACAAAATGACAAAACCAGTAAATGTCCAAGGACACCATCAGTGAGACGTGGTGAATGATGTCTTGCTGGAGCCATTGCTTACGAGAGCAGCGAGCACTGACTGACTGCTGGCACACGGCTTCAGTTCTGCCCCATGGCTTGGTCTCAGTACCATCCCACACCCAGGCCAGGAGTCCTGGGTCCAGTCAGCTGACATGACAAGGCAGGATGCCCCCGGAGGAGCGCGGGGGGTGGAGCCGGGCCTGGCCCGCAGTGGGCATCTGCCCTGAGGGCACAGGAAGAAGGAAGTGGTGGCAGGAAGGGATCCGCCCCCGCAGCACCTCACCAGCCCCCTGCCCTTACCCTTTGACACACAGCGTCTGTTCAGCCATGAGAACAGGAGTTTCCAGATGTTCAGCTCTGAGGCCTATGGCCAGAAGAACCTGCTATTCAAAGATGCCACGTCTGAGCTGGTGCCCATCGCCACACAGACCTACGAGGCATGGCTGGGCCCTGAGTACCTGCGTGCCATGAAGGGTTTCCTCTGTGACTCGAACAGTAAGTCCACCTGTCTCTTCTGCCACCGGCTCCAGCCCAGCCTGGCTGCAAGGATGGCAGGTTTCCTGGAGAGAGGGTAGGGGCGGTGGGGGTAGGGGGGACACCACTCCAGGAGGGGAACCTGTTGCTCTCACTGCCCTGCCTGCAGGGGTTTGGGGGGAAGGCATCTCCAAAACTGGGAGGCCTGCTGTTCTCCGAAGCCCCTCCTCCCTCAGGGGGTGGGGTCCAGGCCATCACGTCTGACTGGGGAAGGCTCTCCTCACCCCCCACACTGAAGTCGCTGAGTCCTGTCACTCTCCCTGCACACCCCCTGCTCCTCCGCCCGCCCGCGGCCACAGCCCCGGCTCAGGCGTGTCTCCCCTGGACCACCGCAGTAGGGCTTCCTGCCTCCGGCCCCCCCTTCACCTACCACGGGGAGGTGCTGTGCCACTGAGCTGGACCCACGGCAGCCGTGGCCTCCCGCAAGCCTCCTCACAGCCCCGAGAAAGAGGAAGAGTCATCTCATTTTCCAATGAGGACACAAGACCAGATCGCTAAATAAATGATCCCTTATTGCTAACGAGGGAAAGAGCCAGAATTTCCCTTGGGTCTGATTCCGAGTTCTGCCTGCTGAGGCCCCAGCCCCACAGGCCGTGCTCGGGCGGCCCCTGCGGCAGGCGAGTGTGCGGTGACCGTGCGCTCACACTCACGCAGGGCTGCCGCACTACCTGCACTGGTGTGTGCTGTCCACTCCTGAGATCCAGAAGTGTGGGGACATGGCTGTGGCCTTCAGCAGGCAGGGGCTCAGGCCGGAGATCCAGTGTGTGTCAGCCGAGTCCCCCCAGCACTGCATGGAACGCATCCAGGTGGGGGCCGTGACCGGCGGGGCAGAACGGGCCTGCGGAAAGCGGTGGCAGTGCCCGGATGGTCCCTCCCCATCTTCCCCTGACCCACCTGGTCTAGGGACACAGAACAGCCTGGGAGGGGAAGGCCTCCTGTGGCCACTCCACGGGGGAAGGGGAGGAGGAAGGACCCACAGGGACCTGCCACCCCACCCCAGGAACAGGGCAGAGGGGGGGCTGTTTACCCTGAGCAGGTGGCCAGGAGTGTGATGCTGGCCCCGCCCAGCCCCGCGGCCCTAGGTGAGCCCTTCCCCTTGCTGCACCTCAGTTTCCCCTTGTGCACCACAGGGGTGGGCCTGGGTCATCGTTTGTCACGTGTCCTGACGGCAGCCCACAGCCAGAGACACATTTCACATCAATCACTGTCTAGTCTGCAAAACTTTTCTTTCAGATACATATGTTTAAAAAATTCTTTCTATAGCTGGAGATATGAGGCAGAACAGTACTTCCTCTCACTAAGTAAGATGTATGCTGGTAGTTTCTGTTCTATTATATACTAGTCTTCGGGTTTGTTTTTGTTTTTTTTCAATTTTAAGGAAACAGAGACACATTGACTTGTTCCACTTATTCATATGTTCATTGGCTGATTCTTGTATGTGCCCTGACTGGGGATCAAACCCCCAACCTTGGTGTATCAGGACAATGCTCTAACCAACTAAGCAATCTGGCCAAGGGTAGTCTTATTTATTTTTTTTTTTTAACACTTGTCATGGCCCATCACATTGATTTGGCATCACTAACACAACTGCCACCTGCAGTTAAAGGCACTGGTCCTGGTCTCGGAGTTCCATTCAGCTCCGTTTTACTTCTCTGACTGGAGACAGAGGCCAGGGTTCCGTGGCAGCCCGAGGCCCTGAAGTCAGGGACGAGGTCTCACCATGGCGACAGGTGTCCCGTCAGCTTCTGGGTTCCTGGACTCCTCCCTCCTGTTCTTCAAGAGCAAGTAGGTGGGACCTGAGGTGAGAAGCATTTTTCAGACCAAAGCCTCTCAGGAGTGTCCACCCTGCCTCCTGAGGCGGGGCCTCATCCCTCACCCTGGAGCCTCCTTCTCAGGCCCTCAGACGGCTTTTCTTTTAAGACCCAGCCCGTTCACCCATTTGTGCACTCATTTGGCAAATGTCTCACAGCCGTGCTGTGTGCCAGCCCTCGGCCAGGTGCCGGGGATGCAGCGCGGTGCCCCAGGCCTCTGAAGGCCGGCGTCCACGGGGAGAGCCCACACGAGCCGGACGGCAGAGACCGTGCGAGGCTCTGCTCAGGAGACCCTCACAAGCAGGCGACCCTCTCCCGGTAACAGGACACCCTCAGAAAACATTTACTGAAAGTAGAACCAGACACCCGTGAACAGAAGTGCTGGCGAGGGTTGGTTTCAGGCCTCTGGCCCTCCAGGCACCCCTCTTGCCGGCACCAGTTCACAATGGGAGGAAAGGGCTGATGGGGCACGATGGGGTCACCAGGAGATGGGAGTCAGAGGTCAAAGTTGACCCCAAGAGACCTGGCCCTGATACCTCCATCCGCTCCCAACACCCAGAGCCACCCTGGAGCTCACCCCAGCCTGGCCACTCTCTCTGTCCCCCTGCAGGCTGGGCAAATTGACGCTGTGACCCTCAGGGGCGAAGACATCTACACAGCAGGGAAGACGTACGGCCTGGTTCCAGCGGCTGGGGAGCAGTACGCTCGTGAGTGCAGGGGACAGGCCGCTGGCTTTGGCGTTGAGGTGGTTGGTGTTTTTATATACATATGAACTTGCCCTTTAGGCTGTTTTCAAAAGCAGCGGCTCTCCCACGGTGCCTCTGTCCCCGGGCTGGCTGCCGTCTGTCACACGCAAGCCCCTCCTGCCCCAGGCCCCAGTGTTCCCGTTCAGTTACTGGAAACACGGCTGGAGTCAGTGAACCTGTAAATGGTCACAGTGTAAGCACTTCAGGCCTTACTGGCCACATACAGACTTTGCTACCCATTTTTTTAAACAACACTTTAAAAATATAAAAGCCATTCTTAGCTTGCAACCTGGGCCAGACAAAAGCAGGCTCACCCTGGACTAGTGGCCTCCTGGGCCTCGCGCCACTTGACCATGCAGCTCACAGAAGGTGGCCCACCTGCCTGCCGGTCAGCTCATGCACACCTTCCAGGGACCTGGCCCGAAGCCTCGCGGCGCCCGGTCCTCTTAAGTGGTGACCTCAGGTTCCTTCCACCTGGTTGTGAAAAAATGTGTCTGTGTCTCAGCTGTGCCTCCTCCTTTCTGCCGGGAGGTGAGAAAAACAGCACCTGGGTGTAAGAAAAGAGGGAAAGAAAGAAATCCCTCCCAGTGAGAAGGCTGGCGGGTGAGGGGGTGGGAGAAAGAACTCCAGCAGCAGAGCCAGAAGCTGCTTCTCGGCCATGGGGCCCACACAGCCACCAGCCCTCAGGCCTGGGCGCCTGCAGGACAGGGAGGGGCAGGGCCAGGGCCAGCCCTCTGGGGTGCACAGCAGCAGGAGGAAGGGGGTGAGGCAGGAAGGGACCCCTGAAAGGCGCCCCTGGCACTGAGATGGGGCCTCACTGGTGTCCCCTTCCCCAGCAGAGGACGGGAGCCACTCGTACTTCGTGGTGGCCGTGGTGAAGCGGAACAGCTCCTACGCCTTCACCCTGAACGAGCTGCGGGGCAAGCGCTCCTGCCACTCGGCCTTTGGCAGCCCTGCCGGCTGGGACATCCCTGTGGGCACCCTCGTGCGGAGGGGCTTCATCCAGCCCAAGGACTGCGACGTCCTCACAGGTGCCACTCTCCTTGGGAACGCAGACGCAGAAAATCTTCTTTGGGGTTGGCTGGGGCCAGGGACCCTCTCCCAACATGACCTCACAGAAGGCAGCCCCAGAGACTCCTCTCCCCCTCTGACGTGGCCCTTGCTCTTAGGAAGGGTGGGAAATATTCCTGGCCACCCCGGTGACAGGGGTGTCTGGTGGTTCTGTGGAAGCTGCCAGGGTGCCCTACCCACTTACTCACCCACAGTGGAACTGGCTCCAGTGGGCACGAGGAGTGGGGTGTGCACAGGTTCTAGACCAGCTGCATCACCTCTGGTCTTGGGGCTGCCCCACCCCCCAGCCTTGGGCATCTGGGGGACCTGTTGGAAAGCAGCTGTCCATCCGTATTAGTGCTGCAGACGTTCTGACCAAGCACCCACCACAAGCCGTCCGTGGGGCCCTCCCCATATGGTGAGTGGTACACATATGTGGTGAAAGGAAGGCAGGAGGAAGCTGGCAAGATCCTTGGACTGACTGCACACACACCTCGGTCCTGGCTGGCACCACCCACACAAGCACACAGAGGCGCTGGGATTGGCTGCCTCCACTCCCAGACAGCTGGACAGGGTCTCTGACTAGAACAAAATAACTTACGAGGTAGTGAGCTCCCCATCCCTGAGGGAGTTCCAGGGAAGACTCGGTGACCGCTTATCAGAGGTTATCCACGGGGTTCCTGTATCTAGACAACCTCTGTGTTCTCTCATCCCTCTGATTCCCACGGGAGGAGATTTGCCGCTCTGAGCTGGGTGGTCAGTGGAGCGCACGGGTGGTCTTGAGCCAGAAGGCTGGGCAGGGTGGGCAGACCTGTGGGGAAGCAGCCCTCCCATCTCCTTCCTGGCTGCCCTTTCTGCACCAGCCTCTTAACACAGCTCTTTCCCTGCACTCCAGCGGTGAGCGACTTCTTCAACTCCAGTTGCGTGCCCGTGAACAACCCCAAGTACTACCCCTCTTCGCTGTGTGCACTGTGTGTGGGGGACAAGCAGGGCCGCCACAAGTGTGTGGGCAACAGCCAGGAGAGGTACTTTGGCTACAGCGGCGCCTTCAGGTACTCTGGCAGGCCTGGCAGGGAGGCCTGGGGCTGGCACGGCGTCTGGGACACTGCTGACACCTGCTTTGGCCTCTTGTGTGGCAGGTGCCTGGTTGAGAATGCAGGGGATGTCGCCTTTGTCAAGCACACAACCGTCTTTGACAACACAAATGGTACGTGAGGAGGACAGGGGCCTGAGCAAGGCCCGACCCCAGTGGGGAGGGGCCGTTCCCCACCCACAACACAGTCCAGGCCCCAGGCGTTGCTGGGTTTGGGGGCCAAGAAGCAACGGGAAAGACTGAATCTAGAAGCCTCTGACCCTTGGGGATCCTGGGGCCCCAAGAGCCTCACGGCAAGAGCAGACCTCTGGCCACACAGCCAGGACACAGGACAGTCTGCACTGGACTGCAGTCCAAACCCGCGCTCCACTGAAGTGGTAGAAACTCATTCCCAGTCAACATGGGGAGACGCCCTCTGGGATGCATATGTGGTACCAAGGTGTGTGGGAGGCGTGGCAGGGGCCTCTCTCCACAGGGCCATCCACTCGCGTCTGGTCTTCGGTCCGGAGCAGATCAATGCCACGTGCAAATACCCTCCTGCAGCCCCTCCGCAATGGCGGCCAGGCACAATCCCATTCATGTTGCTGCAGTTTTTCCTCCAACAGACCTTCCTGAACTCCCTCTGGGAAAAAGAGCTAAGAACTCTGTGCTCCGGGGCCCCCTGAGCCCATCCCTGGGGTCCTGTCAGGGGTCGGGGGCCCGTGGCAAACATCACTCCCCTCCCCTTTCTGCTCTCCCTCTGTCAGAGACTTTATTTTATTCATTCTGAAGACTGGAGGCTGTTCGCCTCCAACACTCATTGTTTGCCCGTTCTGTACACCCTGCCTACACCCAGGCTTTGAACCCCCTAACGCTTGAGGCACAGCCCTTTCAGAAAGGGCTGTCCTACCACGTCTCTGCCCAGGAAAAGGCCCACGTGGGAGATGGAGGTTGGTGAAGGAAAAGCAAACTCGCAGGGAAGAGCATCTGTTACTGTTTCAAATCTCAGACCCCACCCTGCCTATGAAGGCCACCAAAGACCCTGTGAGCTGGGAAGTGCCCCAGGCCATATTGCCACAGCCCCCCTCCCCTGCCACCCTCCCACCTGGAGCCCCTGGATCATCCCCCTCGGGAGGGAGCTGAGTGCTCCAGAGCCTGGGGGCCCTGTGTGGTCCCAGCCCCCTGCTGCCTTGGGTCAGGGAGGCCTCTCTGAACCACCCACAGTGAAACACCCACCTCCCAGGGTTGCTCAGTTCCCCATATTTTCGTCTCTACTCATGGGCCAACCCGAAGTTCCTTCTGGAGGACAGATACATGAAGACATAAAGATAATGTAACTCCCAAGGGCAGTGTGTCTGAGGAAGCCCTTGGATCAACCACCTACTTCAGAATCACTGGGGTGCTGGTTTAAAACTCCGGGTCCTGTGGAATGGTCTCTTAGGGGTTCACATGTGATGTTATACGCCATCTGGTTTGAAAAGCTCAGCTGTTAGGGGAGGAGGTGAACCTTTATTAACCCATCCCACACTCGGGCCTGAAACCTGTCACACACAAAGGGGGTTCTTTGCCCAGCAGTGGATAAGAGCCTCAGTTTCTTCACTCATACAGTGGCAGGTGATCATACCTGCCTTGTGATCATACCTGTCATGAGGACAGAGCAGTGCTTGTCAAAGCCTGTCACAGAGTAGGACTCCCAGCTCCCTCAGAACTGTAGCTCCCGCCCACACTCTGGACCTGGCTGGGCTCTCTCATCCCGGCAACAGAGCAGAGCGATCGGAGAGTGGAGAATTCTGGGGAGCTGGCCAGACACTGCCACCTCCTCTCCCCAGTCAAGGATCTTGGGGTCCCGGAGGAGAGCGTCCTCTCTCTCTTCCTCCCCCTCAGGCCACAGCTCGGAGCCATGGGCTGCTGCACTCAGGTCGGAGGACTATGAGCTGCTGTGTCCCAGTGGGGCCCGGGCCGAGGTGTTTCAGTTTGAAGACTGCAACCTGGCCCAGGTACCGTCCCGAGCCATCATGGTTCGGCCGGACACCAACACCTTTGCCGTGTATGGACTGCTGGACAAGGCCCAAGTGAGTCAGGGCAGGGGCTATGTCATTACGAGAGTAGATGACGGTTGGGGGGGGGCAAGCCCCGGGACCTGTCAGACTACCGGGATCGGACCCCCGGGGGAACCGAGGAGGCCTGGGGGAGACGGACAAATTCTGTGCTTTTTCACTTAGCCAAAAACAACCCTCCAACTACTCTCCCCTCCATTTTTTAAGATTTTCTTTATTTATTTCTAGAGAGGGGAAGGGAGGAAGAAAGAGGGGGAGAGAAGCATCAATGTGTGGTTGCCTCTCGGGTGCCCCCACCAGGGTCCTGCCTGGCTCTCTGCCTGCCTCTCTGGCCACTGCTCCCAGTCTCCTTTGCTGGTCCTTCCTCGTTCCCCAGGCCTGTGACCACCCAGGGTTCAGTCCTGACCCTCCTCTCTGCTGCACCTACACCCCTGTGGATCTCATCCAGTCCCACGCCGTCAGCTTGCATTCACGTACTAGCTCCTAAACGCCCATCTTCAGTCCTGCTGCCATCAACCCTTCAGTCTCTGACTTGCCTCTTTTTTTAAAGATTTTGTTTATTTATTTTAGAGAGGGGAAAGGAGAGGGAAACATCAATATGTGGTTGCTTCTTGCATGCCCCCTACTTGGGGGCCTGGCCTGCAACCCAGGCATGTGCCCCGACTGGGAATCGAACCAAAGACCCTTTGGTTCGCAGGCCATCGCTCAATCCACTGAGCCACACCAGCCAGGGCCAGACTTGCCTCTTTAACAACTGCCTGTTTGACATTTCAACTGGCATTCTACCGGGCATCTCACACTGAACAAGTCCAAGGTTGGACGTTCTTCTTCCCTTGGTCTTCCCCACTTTAGCCTCGGACTCCAGTCTTCTTCTCATGCTCTACATTCAGTCCATCAGCAAGTCCTATTAGCTGCACTTTCAAAATACATGTAGAACTTGAACCCAGGCTGTCTGACAGCAGGGTCCCTGAGTCCTAACCCACCCTCTCTTCCTCTCTCACCGTCCTTCCCCCTAAATTGCTGACCTGCGTGGGGGAAGTACCCTGTGCAGAGGTGCATTTTTCTGGGGAGAAAGCTGGTAACTTTCATTAGATCCTCAAGAGGATTCTTGAGCATCCCCCAAAAGATCAATAGCCACCCTGTTCCTTTCCACTGTGGTAGCTTCACCATATCTTATTCCAAATCCCATTGGATGACAGAGGTGGATGAGTTGTCTAGTCAGAGTCTTGGTGCCTGCAATCCCCTGCCCTTCGGTTCACTGTATGTAGACCAGTGACCAGCAGACAGCACCTGGGTGACCATTTGGGAGCCCAGATAAAAAGCAGGTCTGCCTGTGGTGCTTCCAGGACCTGTTTGGAGATGACCACAATAAGAATGGTTTCAAAATGTTCGACTCCTCTGACTATCATGGTCAAGATCTGCTTTTCAAGGATGCCACAGTCCGGGTGGAGCCTGTGGGGGAGAAAACCACGTACCTGGACTGGCTGGGCCCCGACTACGTGGCGGCCCTGGAAGGGATGCTGTCCCAGCAGTGCTCGGGTGCAGGTAGGGCCCGGCCACTGGGTGGGCGGCTGTGGAAGCCTGGACGGGCAGGTTCACCCCCTCCCAGAGGAGGAGCAGGCATCCTGCCAGTCTCGCCACATCCTTTTGAGTCTTTCCCCAGAGAACCTTGGGCGAGTGGAGGGAGCTCCAGGTCTTTCAAATGATCCAGATGAGGTGTCTCGGGAGGGTCTGAACAGGCGGCTGCAGAGAGTTACAGCAGAAACACTTGGCTGTGTAACCCAGAGAGACCTGGATCATGACTATAAATGCTAAAAATAATCTTCCAGAAAGGATGAGACAACTACATAAATATACATGTGGTATAATTTTAAAAGGAATGAATATGTAAAGAAAGCAGAGGAGAGAACATTTGTCATAGCTCAGAAAGAGGGAGCCTGGGTGAGCTGAGTTTACAGAAATGTGCTCAGAGCCTCATACCTGCGTTTGGGCCCTCAGCGGCCGCCCCCTGCAGGGCGCCCCCGCTCCTGCCGCTGCTCCCGCTGGCCCTCTCGGCCAGCCTCCTGCAGCCCTCCCTCTGAAGCAGCTCTGGGCGAGCCTCACCCTGCCTTGGAATGGAAACCTACTCGGAAATCTCTAGAAATACGGCTGTTCTCCTCGGTAAATCCAGCTGACACGGAAAATCATGTGATGGGAGAGGAAATGTGAGACACCGCGGAGCTCCTCAGAGCTGTGATCCCGGCACTGAAGCTTCTGCGATTGCTTCAAAGTGGAATAAAAATGATGTTAAAGAAAAGCCCCCTAACCCAGAGCTGGAGGTGAGCAGGTCTGTCTCGCTGGAATCCAGCCTCTGCCTCCCGGGCGCCACTTGTCACTTTGCCACCTGGGGGCGTTGGCCAGCCTCCCAGTCACGGCCCACCCACAGGCTGGCACTTCTTCCCTGCAAATCTGCAGGCTCCCACCACCTGGGGCCTCATCAGGCTTGGGTTTGGAAAAGGCCAGTTACCAAGGAAACAGGCTGAGCCTGGACTTCCCACGTGTCCCTCTCTGCTGGCGCCGCCCAGAGGGCCCCTCCCCTGCGGGTTCCCACTTCCCCTGTACAGACGGGATGCTTCAGCTCCCATCGGCCCCCACTCTGTCCGTCCTCCCTCCCGAGGACACTGCGTCTTTCCACAAAGGCATCCACTGGATGAGGCTACAGCCAGGCTCCCCAGAGAGGCCAAGCTGCTGGGCACACACAGCCCCTCATTCGTGTCTTCCGTGGCTTGGTGCGGCCCAGCCCACAGGACGCGGCCCAGCCCACAGGACGCCTGACTGTGCCGGGCTGGCGAGGGCCGGGAGGCCAGGGCAGGACCGTTGGGATGGAACGTTCAAGGGCTCCTTAGACAAAGGAAATGCTTCTTCATAAGAACTTTTAAGGGGTGTAGGGCTTGACACAGGGTTGGGAAGTCTAAAATTCTGCCTAAACGTCTGTCTGTTGCAGGGAGGGCAGGCCTCAGAACCAGACACGCTGTGGCCCTGCCATTCCGTGCATTCATCTGCCCCAGACCGTGTCCCCGGGTTAAGTCCAGTCAGTAGGAGTCCCCACTCCTGCATTTCCTCCTCTTAAGCTCCACGTTGCCCCTTTCCCTTACCCCCAGTGTGACGCCCACCACTCCTGTACATCTGGTGGCAGCAGGTGCCTCCAAACTGAAGGGCTCGGCCTCCAGGCTCTAAGCCCTGGAGCAGGAGGTGGCGGAGAGCTTGGGGCACTACGAGGACCTCTAAAGAGTTGGAAATGGAAGGATGCCGTTTTCTTTGTCGGAGGAGCCGGGTCAGGTGCTGAGGAGCTCCGTGTCCTCGCAGTGTGACCGGGGCATCTCCCGGCCCAGACCTGCGCCAAGTGGACCTGAGGTTCCCTCCAGAGGAAGGGTCCCTCCTCCCACCTGCTGTGAGAGTCAGTGGGAAGTGCTTGTAGAGGGTCCTCTCTCTACTCCAGGTATTGCCATGGTTGTCTCAGGAGCCAGAAGTTTCCAGAACTGCCAGATCTCACTCTGAAGTTTGCTCCTTGGAAAAAGCAAAGAGAGAGAAGAAACAGGAGCCAGCCACCCTCGTCAGCAAGCCAGGTGCTGCGTGGGCCTGGAGCTATTTACATCTCAGTGCGCAGGGGCCTCGGGGACACTGCCCCCCACCTGTGGGCGTTGGGACAGATCCCTTCCATCTCTCAGCAGCAAAGGAGGCCTCTGACCACATTCTGGCCATAGTCATACCTTCCTGGCAGGGCTCTTCGCCATTCTGGGGGGTGCCCTCACCCCCTGCGAGGGCTCGGCAGGAGCCAGCCTCTGCTATCCAGCTTTGTACCCTCTTCACTGAGGGGAGCGAATGAGTCTTCTCAGACCTGATGGTTGCATAATTTTTTTAAGAGAGATGTGTGCAGTGGGACGTGTACTTCAGCGTGGCCCCCCTGGGTTAGTACGCCACCTGGCGTGTGACACCTGCATTGTGAGCCACCCAAGGTGTCACCTGTGTGAGTGCTGTGTGACGTTTGGTTGTCAGCTAGCCACCACTGTGTTAGTGCTCATGAAACAAGTTGGCTGGGTTTTTTTTGTTGTTTTTTTTTTTTTCAATAAAGCCAAACAACCCTTCACCTGCTGAGGCTTGGATTCTGATAGAAACTTTCTGTTGCTGATTGGTTTTATCTTCATAGGTGGCCAGAGGCCGACCTGCCCCAGGTCACTCAGAATGGCATTTCCACTCAGGACCCTGTCCCCCGAGAACACAAGTCAGGGGCCAGTCAGGGCCCCCAGCCAGTGAGACCCCAACTCCCCTCCCCCATATGGACTGGTTCTCTGGCCCCCACAGGGGGGCCAGCGTCCTGGCTCATCCCACTGCCTCAACCCCTTCAGCCTCTTGGGTGTCTACTCCTCAGAGGAAGATGCAAACTTTTCCACTGCCCCTGCCCCGTGTCTCCAAAATAAGCTGCCCACACCTTTTCTTTGGCAAGTTAGCTGCTGACACACTGGAGTGGAGGAAGCGGATCAGATCCCCAACAGTCCTTGCAGTGGGAGCTCTCGGGCCCGTCCTGAAGTTGGACAGCCAGAGCCCTACTCTGGCTTGGGGAGTGGAGGTTCTCTATGCTCCCCTCTCTTATATCCCCCGACCTTCACTCTGTCCCCAGGGCAGCCTTCCTCCCTCACCGCAGACATCTTACAGAGCTGGGTCTTGCTCCCCACTGCACAGAGGCCATTTCCTGGGGGTTTGGCCCACTCATGGTGAAGCTGGGCAGCCTGGAGACCTGGTGGCAGAAGTTGGTGACAGTATCCCTACACTGGACCACACCACATGGCTCAGTTTCAGCCCATTACTCAGCTCTCCCCGTGCGGCCTCTCACTGCCTTGAAGCTTTGGGAGAGTTACCGAACATCCGGGCCCCATGGCCTCATCTAGAAATGAGCCGAGTATGCTCTGGCCGTTGTGACTCGGTTGGTTGGAGTGTTGTCCCATAAACTGACCTCACAGGTCTGATTCCTGGTCGGGTCATGCAGGAGAGGCACCATTCGATGTATCTCTCTCACATCGATGTTTCTCACCCTCCCTTCCCTTTCCTCTAAAATCAGTGAGCATGTCCTTGGTTGAGGCTCAGATTATACTACACATAAAACGCCATGCTTGATATATCACGGGTGCAAGAAAGGTGGTCTCTGTGACTTGCTATTTATTACTCCAGGAGATTGGTTTTGGGATGAAGTTTCAAATTTCTGAGAGATCAACTGATTGGCCCATTGTGGGTCAGGTGCCTCCTACGTGACCAGTCAGCTCAGGTCAGTGCCTTGTGGAAACTTGGCCACTGAGGCCCCAGAGAAAAAGGAAATGAAAGCATTGTGACCACCCCAACCAGTGGTTACCATGCATATTTTAGATGATATTTGGCATTCATTGAGCAAATACTTGTTGACCCTTACTGTTACTACCCCTGGCCCTGGGCAGGAGCGATCCTGGGCCTGGATTTTGTGCTTTAGAGCAGTGCTTTCCAGACCTCAGTATGCACACAAATCCCACAGACCTTGTTAGAATGCAAGTAGGTCTGGAGCATGGCGGACAGTCTGCAGCTCTGACCAGCTCCCAGGTGGTGCCCATGCTGTTGGTCCAGGGATCGCATTTTGGGAACTAGCCCTCCCCTGACCTGCCCCTGCCGAGCAGGAGGAGTCATGGGTAAAGGGATGAGTTTAGCCAGAGCCCATACCCCACCTTGTACACATGCCCCCGAAATTCTTTTTTAAAATACATTTTATTGATTACGCTATCACAATTGTCCCAATTTTCCCCCTTTGCTCTGCCAGCACTCCTAGTTCCTCCAGCAATCCACCCCTTAGTTCATGTCCATGGGTGATACATGTAAGTTCTCTGGCTTCTCCTTTTCCTATGCTGTACTTCACATCAGCCTGTCTATTCTGTACCTGCCTATTTGTGGTCCTTAATCTCTGCACCTTTCCCCCCATTCTCCCCTTTCCCTCTCCCAACTGATAGCCCTCCAAGTGATCTCCATATCTACAGTTCTTTTCCAGTTCTGTTTGTTTATTTAGGGTTTTTTTAAAATTTATCTTTAGAGGGGAAGGGAAGAAGAGAGGGAGGGAAACATCAATGTATGGTTGCCTTTCGTGCATCTCCTGCTGGGAACTGGTCTGCAGGGAACTGGCCTGCAACCCAGGCATGTGCCCTGACTGGGAATCGAACCTCGATTGTCTGGTTCTCAGGCCCGCGCTCAGACCACTGAGCTACACCAGCCAGGGCTAGTTTGTTTTTTAGATTGAATTTTTGATAGTTATAAATTTGCTGCCATTTTAATTTTCATAATCTTGAAATTTTTTCTTAAATAAGTCCTTTTAACATTCCATATGATAATGGCTTGGAGATGATGAGCTTCTTCAGCTTTACCTTGTCTGGGAAGCGCTTTACCTGCCCTTCAATTCTAAATGATAACTTTGCTGGATAGAGTCATCTAGGTTGTAGGTCCCTGCTTTCCATCACTTTGAATACTTGTTACCAGTTCCTTCTAGCTTGCAAAGCTTCTTTTGAGAAATCACCTGACAGTCTAATGGGAATTCCTTTGTAGGTAATTATGTGCTTTTCTCTTGCTGCTTTTAAGATTCTCTCTTTATCTTTAATATTTGGCATTTTAATTACAATGTATTTTGAGTGAGCCTCTTTGTGTCTGTCTTGTTTGAGATTCTCTGTGCTTCCTGGACTTCTATTTCCTACACCAAATTAGGGAAGTTTTCTTTCATTGTTTTTTCCAATAAGTTTTCAATATCTTGCCCTTTCTCTTCTTCCTCCAGCACCACTATGATGCAAATGTTAGTATGTTTCAAGTTGTCCCATAGCCTTCGTAGCCTTTGTTTTTGTTTTTAATTGTTTTTTTCTTTTTGCTATTGTGATTTTTTTTTCTTCCTTATGTTCCAGATCATTGAATCTCACCTACATCCACTCCACCATTGGCTCCCTGTAAATTTTTTTTATTTTATTGTTATTACATTACAGTTGTCCCATTTCCCCCCCTTCACTCTCTTCAACCCTCCTAGGAGGGCCTGGGTTGAAGAGAGTGAAGGGGAGAAAATGAAACAATCTCTGTACCATCTTCCATGTCCATGGGTCATTTATATATGCTCTTTGACTAGCCCCTTCCCCTTCCTCTCAGCATTATCCCCTCCCCTTTCCCCCCTGATCACTGTCAGTCTAATCCATGTTTCCAATCCTCTGGTTCTCTTCTGCTCATGAGTTTATTTTGTTCATTAGATTCCTCTTATAGGTGAGATCATATGGTATTTGTCTTTCACCAACTGACTTATTTCACCTAACATAATATTCTTCATTTCCATCCATGCTGTTGCAAAAGGTAGGAGTTCCTTCTTTCTTTCTGCTGCGTAGTATTCCATTGTGTAAATGTACCACAGTTTTTTGATCCACTCATTTACTGATGGGCACTTAGGATATTTCCAGCACTTGTCTATTGTAAATAGAGCTGCTGTGAACATTGGGGTGCATAGGTTCTTCTGGATTGGTGTTTCAGGATTCTTAGGATATAATGCTAGCAGTGGAATTGCTGGGTCAAAAGGCAGTCCTATGTTTTAATTTTTTCATGTAATTCCATACTCTTTTCCACAGTGGCTGCACCAGTCTGCATTCCCACCAATAGTGTGCTAGGGTTCCCTTTTCTCCACATCCTTGCCAGCACTTGTTGTTTATTGATTTGGTTATTATGGCCAACCTGGCCGGTGAGAAGTGGTATCTCATGGTGGTTTTAATTTGCATCTCTCTGATGGCTAGTGATGTTGAGCACCTTTTCATATGTCTCTGGACCATCTGTATGTCCTTCTTAGAGGAGTGTCTATTCAGGTCCTTAACCCATTTTTAAATTGGGTTGTTTGTCTTACTGGTGTTGAGTCATATGAGTTCTTTGTATATTCTGGAGATTAAACCCTTGCCCAATGTATCATTGGCAAATATCTGTTTTTGTTTGTTTAGTTTGTTTCTTTTGGTTCAGTTATTGATACATATGTGTTTATTGCCATTTTATTGTTGATAGTTGTGATCTTATTTTTCAAGATCAAATAAGTTAAGTCCCTTTAACATTTCATATCATAATAGTTTAGTGATGATGAACTCCTTTAGTGTTTTCTTGTTTGGAAAGTTCTTTACTTCTGCTTTTAAATGATATCTTTGCTGGGTAAAGTAATCTTGGCTGTAGGTCGCTGCTTTTCATGATTTTGAATATCTCTTGCCAGTGCCTTCTAGCCTGCAAAGTTTCTTTTGAGAAATCAGCTGATGGTCTTATGAAAACTCCCTTGTAATTAACTAACTGCTTTACTCTTGCTGTTTTTAAGATTTTCTCTTTCTTTTTAACCTTTGGCATTTTAATTATGATGTGTCTTGAAGTGGGCCTCTTTGCATCCATCTTGTTTGGGACTCTCTGTGCTTTCTGGACTTGCATGTCTGTTTTCTTCACCAAATTAGGGAAGTTTCTTTTCATTATTTGAAGATTTTTCAATTACTTCCTTTTCTCTTCTCCTTCTGGCACCCCTATAATGTGAATATTGGAAGGCTTGGAGTTGTCCCTTAAGCTGCTTACACTGTCCTCATTTTTTGGAGTTCTTTTTTTTCTTATTGTTCTGATTGGTTGTTTTTGCTTCCTTATATTTCAAATCATTGATTTGATTCTGGCCTTCATTCACTCTACTGTTGTTTCCCTGTAAATTGCTATTTATTTCAATTTGTGAATCATTTGTTCCTGACTGGATCTTTTTTACACTGTTGAGGTCCTCACTAAGTTCTTGAGCATCCTTATAACCAGTTTTTTGAACTGCGAATCTGATAGATTGCTTATCTCCATCTTGTTTAGCTCTTTTTCTGGAGTTTTGATCTGTTCTTTCATTTGGGCCATGTTTCTTTGTCGCCTCATTTTGGAAGCCTCCCCATGATTATTTCTATGTATTAGTTAGAGCCACTATGACTTCCTGTCTTGGTAATGTGCCCTAATGTAGTAGGTGTCCTATGAGGTCCAGTGGCACAGCCTCCCCTTTCACCCAAGCTGGACATTTGAGATGCACCCTTCTTGTGGGCTGAGTACACTCTTCTCAT